TTACTTACCAAACAGTGGGCCAGCAGCGAAGGTATAAATCTCTTTACCGACAAGGAAGAGGCCCAAGCAGCAGCTTGCGGAACCCGGGGGGCCCCTGAGGAACCCCGGTGGGCTTGCTATCCAGCCCCCAGAGGTGGCGGGCTTTGTCTGAGGGTGGAGTGGAAGCCCCCACCCCTGGTTTGGTGCTGTGCCTCCAGCGTAGAGTGGGTGGCGCTTGTGTGGCCCAGGAGTCCTGTCCTCCTGATCCTAGGTGATGGCGTTGGTGTGGGCGGTGACAGGGCACCCAGGGAGCTTTGCCCAGCCTGGCCCAGGGAGAAGCCATGCCAGGGCTCATCAGCTGCTGCCAGTGAGGTTTCCCCGGCTCAGCCTCCTGAGAGGCGGGCACGCGGACTGCGCCCTCCTGATCCACTCCTGGGACCCTACCACATCCCTTGGGAGCAGGGGCCCGAGCTGACACAGTGCCCTGTGCAGAGTGTTTGTCTCACCACCATCGTGTCCTGGGGTTTCGTGGGACATCCTGGGACATTGTGGGGCTCATCTGGCCACACAGGTGAACAAACTGAGGCTTGGAGAGGGCCTGCAGTTGGCCCAGAGCCCAGAGCCCGCCAGTCCTCCGTTCCCTTTACTCCCCTGCCCGCCTGTCGGCTGAGTTTTCGGAGGGCTGTGCGGGGCAATGTGCTCGGGGCTCGTAACCCTGGCTCCTGGCACCCTGGGGTGGGGTCTGCCCCACCCACTTCCTAGGCTTGTGCCCAGTGACCCTGGTTCGCTGAGGGCCAGGGGAATTCCAGGTTGGCAGGTCGGGACCTGTCCCCACCACCTGACCCCCTGCCAGCCGGCCCGGTTCCCCGCTGAGGGGGGCTGGGACCGGGCTAAGCAAGGGCCCCCTAGTCTTTCTGGCTATGAAGCGCCAGGGTCCCACAGGAGGATCCTGACTTCAGGGGTGGGTGGGGTGCTGAGGCCCAGAGAGGGGGAGCCCACCGTGACTCTGGCTTTCCGGGCCTGGGCTGGGCCCTGAGCCCCAGGCCTGGGAGCATGGATGTGGCTGGGTCTCCTCTCCCTCCTCTTCACCCAGCGGTGTCCCTAAGACACACACCTTGTGAATCCTGTGACCAGCGAGACCAGGGACCCACCCCAAGATCTCCCAACAGCACGACACTCCCCAACTTTGCCTTCCTCCTCGCTGTAGATGCTGGGGGGCGATCGGGCCGCCCCTGCTCACGCCACAGTTCCCTGTTCCTGTCACATCTGTGCTCACACGGGGGCGGGGGGCATGTGGGGGCTGCTCAGGCCAGGTCAGCCTGGGGCGTTGTCCCCTGCTTCTGCCTCAGCCTGTTTCTGGGTGGCCACTCTCTCCCAGGTTGAGCACCACTCAGGGGTGCTGCTGCTGGGGGCAAAGGCCTCTGCTTCTAATAGCTGCCCCCACTCTGGGCTGGTCACGGGCTGCCTGGGCGCTCGGGAGGCCGGGGTTCATCCGTCATCCTGTACCCTGGAGGGCAGGCAGCAGGTGCTGTGCCACCCCCCTCCATTTGTTTCCCCCCACCGCCCCCTGCGCCTCTCCCTGCTTGGCTCTCTCCATGTTGTTGCTTTTCCGTCTTCCTTGTCCTCACCTCCTGGCTGCAGCTCCCTCACCTCCTTCCCCGCTCAGGTGGGGGATCCGGGCTCTGCTCTTCCCATCAGTGTGTCTAGGTGGTGGTCACCCTCCAGGAGCAAGGGGAGGACACGACCCCGGGGACCCTCAGCTCTGGGCCAAGAGAGCCTCAGCTGGCACGCTCCTCTCCCCACACCTTGAGTGGGTGCGCAGCCGGGCTGGGGGCCAAATGCTGCTGTCAGCGCCTTCTTGGCCTTGCCATCCCCCCCGGCTGCGTCCCCTCCCTGGCTGCGTCAGGCCTCAACGGGTGGTGGGCAGGCAGCCCAGGGACTGGGACAGGGCGCCTGACGCACACAGGGCAGGGTGATGGGGAGGCTCTGAGTCATGGGGGGGGTGGGGGGACGCTGGGCCCTGCCCAGCAGGAGACCAGGAGGAGCAGGAGAGAGAGCCACGGGCAGGGTCACCTTGAGGCTCAGGTGAGCAGAGCTCAGAGTGGCCGGTGGTGGTGGTGGGGGGGTGGGCTTGGCAGGCCTCTGCCCACCGGACTGCTGGGGAAGGGAAGAGGCAGGACAGGAGGAGCTCCCCACATGGAGCCTGGGCTCCTCCCTGCCCTGCCCCTTCCGTTCCCTCAGTCAGGCCTGCCCTTTCCCAAGGCTCCAGCCAGCTCAGCTGCACAACGCCCCAACTCCCAGGGGTGCTGGAGCTGTTGGAGCAACCCAGAGGGTGGGGGTAGGGAAGGGTTGGCTAAAGTTGTGTGGCTAAAGTTGCCCGTGTGCACACATGCTCATGTGCACACATGCTCATGTACACACATGTGGGACATGTGCCTGCGACCCCCCGAGATGCCCCAGCGCCTCCCTCCCCACCTGCCCCACACAGGTGCACCACGTCCACGCGGGAGAACCCCTGTAGCTGGCTCTCGCATGCGTCCTGTGCACACGGGTGTGCGTTGCACACGTGCCTGCTGCACATCCGTCTCCTTGCACATGGCAGACACCCCTGCACCGGCGCTCTGAACCAGCACGGCCCTGCGCGTGCACCTGCATACAAATTTGGTCCCCAGACGTTTCTGGGTGGAGGAGCAGCAGACAGAGGGCGAGCTTGGCGACTCAGCCTCCAGGACCGCTGCTCTGCCTGTGGGCAGCGGGGAGACGGAGGCCCTGGGACTGGGACTGGCCTGGCGTGCCCTGGGCCAGCGGGAGCCCAGACCTCCTGACTTGGGCCCGTGGCCTCCCTTCCTGCCTTCCTCCAGGCATGGGCACCCCCACCCGCAGGCCACCCCAGCCCCCAAATTGGCCCCGCAGGAGACGGAGGTGTGAGGCCGCCGCGTCAGCTGCAGTCGGAGGGGCGATGCGGCCGTCTGGTTTGTGGACCACCTCCGCCACAAAAAAATGGCCGCCGAGATTTCTTTGGGGACTTTCCTTTCCCTCAAGCCTCTCCTCTGTTCTAGCCCTCTGGGGCTCAGGGCTGTAAATTGGTTTTGTTTTAAGGGCAAAGGGCTAACATTTGTCTCAAAGCAAGCTCTTTCCTGGAGGTTCCCAGGAGGGGAGGCAGGAGGCAGAGGCGGCTTTTGTGAACAGTCTACAGCTTTCTTTATCCAAACCTAATCTTCACATCCCTGGACACCGGCCGGGGTGGAGTGAGGGCGCGCCCAGAGTCCAGGGCCCACTCGGGGAAGCTGGAGCCCCGGCTGGCCGAGGGACTGTCTGGGTGATGGGAGCAAGCCTCCCCGGGCCTGGTTTCCCTGCTTGTGGAACGAGGGGCCGTGGGCTGTGAGCCCTGTGCCGCCCCTGCCCGGAGCATCTTGGCCTGGGCAGCACGGTTCACCTCTTCTGCCACGGTGGCCAGGTGGGGGTCTGGTCCCCACTGCGTAGATGTGGACACAGACCGAGACTTGGTGCTCTCCAGGCAGCCAGCTGGGCCCGGCAGACGGGGCTTCACCCACCTGACTCCTGCTGCCTCGGGAGACCCGGCCGGGCCCAGGCTGTGCTGTGTGACTTGGGGCAAGTCCCTGCTCCTCTCTGGGCCACGGACTCTTCAGCCAGGGGGAGGATGCTGAGTCCTGGCCACGCTGTGGGAGACCTCCGGCTTGTTCACCTGCCTGAGGCTCCCCCCCCACCATGGACCAGAGCCCTCCACCAAAAAGCACTTTGAGGTGGTGATATTGGGGCGTCTCCGACTTCCCAGACTCACCCTCTCCCTTGGCTCTGCTCCTGCCTGTGGGACGAGCTCTCCGTGTGCCCTGGCCCTGCAGGAGACCCCAGCCTCTGCTTCCCTGGCGTGGGGGGCCCACAGCCACGCTGCTCTGCCTCCCCTCCCCCCTGGAAGCCGAGACAAGGGAATTATTTTTGGAACAAGAGCGGTTACACAACAAATGAATTATTTATCTTTGGGCATGGAGGAGAGAAGGCATTTTGCTGGGCTTCTTAATTCTTTATCTGGATTGGGGGGTGTCCCCGTGGGTATGTGGCCATGTGTGTGGCCCGTTGGTGGTGTGCAGGGCGTAGGTGTGCTTGTGTGTGTGCGTGCGCGTGCCCGTGTGCCTGGCGTTCTGGTTCCCGAGGGGGCAGGCCGGTCTCCGTGAGGGTTGGTGGCCGGGCACGGACAGGCGTGTCGGGGGGTGTCAGGGGGTGTGTGTGAGTGTGAGGGTGTGCGTGGGCACCTGACTGTCACTCTGCAGTCTCCCTTCCCTGCCCACTGTCTTGGGGCTCTGTCCCTGCTCCCCTTCCCCCTCTTCTCTCTTTTGTCTCCCTCCTCCCAGGACCCCCAGCCCCTCCACCCTCTGTCGCCACCCACTGATCTCACCCACTGGGACCCCAGAGTGCCGCTGGCACAGAGGATCCCCAGGAGAGGGCAGGGAGGGGGCTGGGGGCCCGCGCTGGAGCTCAGAGGGGCCGCTCTGAGCCTTCACACTGATCTGTCACCCCCTCTCGGTGCTGCCTTTCAGGAACCAGGTGACAGATGGGTCTCTTCCTTCCTGCCCCCATCTCTGGCGCTCCCCCCTCAGAGCTCCACTCTCCAGCCTCCCGCGGGAATCGTCTGAAGTTCTGAGCCCAGAACCCAAGGAGGAAGAGGAGGAGGAAGTGGAGGAGGAGGGAGAGGAATCGAGCCCTGATCCTGCGCGCCTTCCCGGCAGGAGAGGAGCAGCGCGGAAGCAGGCTGTGGGGCCCGCGGCGCCCCTGGCCCCGGCCTGGCCGCGGTGCCCGGTGCCCGCAGGTAGCCCCCCGGCAGTCCCCCGGTCCTTGGCACTGGCCGTGCCTGCTTCACCTGGGGCCCCCGTGCTGGGGTCGCCCCAAGATGGTGGCGGCCCCGGGGAGGACTGTGCTGCCGGCCCCAGCCTCCAGCCGCTAGGCCCCCCGCACCCCAGCCCCTGACCCTGAGCCCGGCCTGCGAGGGGGCCGTGGCTGGCGCCATGCTGCGCCTGGGGCTGTGCGCCGCGGCGCTGCTGTGCGTGTGCCGGCCGGGTGCCGTTCGCGCCGACTGCTGGCTCATCGAGGGCGACAAGGGGTATGTGTGGCTGGCCATCTGCAGCCAGAACCAGCCGCCCTACGAGACCATCCCGCAGCACATCAACAGCACCGTGCACGACCTGCGGCTCAACGAGAACAAGCTCAAGGCCGTGCTCTACTCCTCGCTCAACCGCTTCGGGAACCTCACCGACCTCAACCTCACCAAGAACGAGATCTCCTACATAGAGGACGGCGCCTTCCTGGGCCAGTCGAGCCTGCAGGTGCTGCAGCTGGGCTACAACAAGCTCAGCAACCTGACCGAGGGCATGCTGCGCGGCATGGGCCGGCTGCAGTTCCTCTTCGTGCAGCACAACCTCATCGAGGTGGTGACGCCGGCCGCCTTCTCCGAGTGCCCCAGCCTCATCAGCATCGACCTGTCCTCCAACCGCCTCAGCCGCCTGGACGGCGCCACCTTTGCCAGCCTGGCCAGCCTCATGGTGTGCGAGCTGGCCGGCAACCCCTTCAACTGTGAGTGCGACCTCTTCGGCTTCCTGGCCTGGCTGGTGGCCTTCAACAACGTCACCAAGAACTACGACCGCCTGCAGTGCGAGTCGCCCCGCGAGTTCGCCGGCTACCCGCTGCTGGTGCCCCGGCCCTACCACAGCCTCAACGCCATTACTGTGCTCCAGGCCAAGTGCCGCAATGGCTCACTGCCCGCCCGGCCCGCCAGCCACCCCACGCCCTACTCCACCGACGCCCAGCGGGAGCCCGACGAGAACTCGGGCTTCAACCCCGACGAGATCCTCTCCGTGGAGCCGCCGGCCTCCTCCACCACCGACGCGTCCGCCGGGCCCGCCATCAAGCTGCACCAGGTCACCTTCACCTCGGCCACGCTGGTGGTCATCATCCCACACCCCTACAGCAAGATGTACGTGCTGGTCCAGTACAACAACAGCTACTTCTCTGACGTCATGACGCTCAAGAACAAGAAGGAGATCGTCACGCTCGACAAGCTGCGGGCACACACGGAGTACACCTTCTGCGTGACTTCGCTGCGCAACAACCGCCGCTTCAACCACACCTGCCTGACCTTCACCACACGGGACCCCGTCCCCGGCGACCTGGCGCCCAGCACCTCCACCACCACCCACTACATCATGACCATCCTGGGCTGTCTCTTCGGCATGGTCATCGTGCTGGGGGCCGTCTACTACTGTCTGCGCAAGCGGCGCATGCAGGAGGAAAAGCAGAAGTCCGTCAAGGTCAAGAAGACCATCCTGGAGATGCGCTACGGGGCCGACGTGGACGCCGGCTCGGTGGTCCACGCCGCCCAGAAGCTGGGCGAGCCCCCCGTGCTGCCCGTGTCCCGCATGTCCTCCATCCCCTCCATGATTGGGGAGAAGCTGCCCGCCTCCAAGGGGCTGGAGGCCGGGCTGGACACGCCCAAGGTGGCCACCAAGGGCAACTACATCGAGGTGCGCACGGTGTGGGTGGTGACGGCCTGGCCCGGCCTGAGGACGACCTCCCGGACCTGGAGAACGGCCAGGGCTCGGCGGCGGAGATCTCCACCATCGCCAAGGAGGTGGACAAGGTCAACCAGATCATCAACAATTGCATCGATGCCCTCAAGTTGGACTCGGCCTCCTTCCTGGGGGGGGCGGGGGCGGCGGGGACCCCGAGCTGGCCTTCGAGTGCCAGTCCCTCCCTGCGGCCGCCACCGGCTCCTCCGCTGCTGCCCCCGGGCCCTGGAGCGGCCCAGCTTCCTGTCACCCCATACAAGGAGAGCTCCCACCACCCCCTACAGCGCCAGCTGAGCGCCGACGCCGCCGTGGCCCGCAAGACCTGCAGCGTCTCGTCCAGCGGCTCCATCAAGAGCGCCAAGGTCTTCAGCCTGGACGTGCCTGACCACCCGGCTGCCGCCGGGCTGGCCAAGGCCGACTCCAAGTACATCGAGAAGGGCAGCCCCCTCAACAGCCCGCTGGACCGGCTACCTCTGGTGCCCGCGGGCAGTGGGGGCGGCGGTGGCATCCACCACCTGGAGGTGAAGCCCGCCTACCACTGCAGCGAGCACCGGCACAGCTTCCCCGCCCTGTACTACGAGGAGGGCGCCGACAGCCTGAGCCAGCGCGTGTCCTTCCTCAAGCCGCTGACCCGCTCCAAGCGGGACTCCGCCTACTCGCAGCTCTCCCCAGACACTACTACTCAGGTTACTCCTCCAGCCCTGAGTACTCCTCCGAGAGCACGCACAAGATCTGGGAGCGCTTCCGGCCCTACAAGAAGCACCACCGGGAGGAGGTGTACATGGCCGCCGGCCACGCCCTGCGCAAGAAGGTCCAGTTCGCCAAGGACGAGGACCTGCACGACATCCTCGATTACTGGAAGGGGGTCTCGGCCCAGCAGAAGCTGTGACCCTCTCCTCCCTGGTGAGGTCGGAGGGGGAGGGCAGGGCGCGCGGGGAAGGGCCCGGGCGGCCGGGCGGGGCGCGCTGGGGGCCGAGGCCCCGCAGTGGACGCACACGCACACCCGCACGCACGCACCATGCACACACCTGACCACCACCTGACTGTGAACACCACCACCCGACAATAACGGACAGGAAAACAAAGACACGTTCTCCTTAAAGTTTACACACTGATACCGACACCAGTGTCTACTGTGCTGCCCAGGGCTCTGCAGGGGTGCGGGCTGGGTGAGGGCGGGGGGGCAGATCAGGACGCCCAAAGAGGGTGTGGGGTCTGGGGCTCTGGGACGAGGACAGGTCTGGGGGAGAAGGAGGCCGGGCGGAGATGGAAGAGCCCCCTCTGGGGCAGGAAGAGGCGCCCCCCATCCCGGCTAGGCGCCAGGTCTCTTGGAGATAGCACCAGGGGGCCGGTGGGCCTCACGGCCTTCCTTTATGGATGGGGAAACTGAGGCCCGGAGAGAGGAAGTGATAAACCCAGGGTCACGTGGCAGGTTAGTCTCAGTGTCCCCACTCCCCAGCCCAGTGCTATTCGTGCCCCAGAGGCTGCCCTGGGTTCCCCCTCTGTCCACCCACCACCCCTTCCAAAGTGGTGGTCTCCTTGGGGCCGAGGGACTTGAGAATCAGGAGGGTGCTTTTCCTTTCTAGAAAGCTCCATGGCTGCATCCCCAAAGCTGTGATTCATCATGCCGGGGGGCTTCTACCCCCACCCCTACGCCAGCACCCGGAGAGGAATGAGGGGAGCATCCCTGCTGGGGGGAGCACGGGACGTCCCACCAGCCCTTCCAGTGTCTTCCAAGTAGTCTGGGGTCTGAGGAGAGCGGGCTGGGCCAGCTCCCACCGCATCTCAGGTGCAGCCCCCCGTGCTCCAGCCCCCAGCTTCTCTGGGCCTCCAGGACCCCCTACTCATCCCAGAAGGACAGCAGTGACTGTGAGGCCTGGGAGCGGTGGGGAGGCTGGTGTCACGGGAGCCTTCTGCCTGGGCCTCCCACCTGCCTGACCCCCATCATGGGCTCTCAGGGCAGATCTCAGCTGGGGTACCCACCCATGCCTCTGGCCTCAGGGCCCCAGGTTTCCAAGGAAGTGGCCACTCCCCCTTGCTGACCCCCACCCAACATTGAACAAAGCACAAACAGTGAGCACCCCCCAGGGCAGGGGGGCAGGTTGGGTTTCAGGGGCCCTCCCCCTCCCTGGCCAGTGTCTGTCGCCGCAGCAACCGGGGGGCCTGGCAGTTGGGCTGTTGGGCTCCTGGGGTTCTTTCTCAGTGTGGGTGGCAGAGGGCTGCAGGGTGGGCAGGCCCCGCAGAGGCTGCCTTTCT